TCTGCGCCAGCAGGCCACCCCCAAGCCCCACCCCCTCAGTGACAATGTCTTAAGATACAGACTTATTATTACTTCCCAGGGTTAGAGTTCCCCAAGGCAGGGGGACAGAGGGGCCACACAGCCTGAGTGGGGACAAGTGCTCCAGCAGGCAGGGTCATCCTGGCCGGGGCCTGGGGCCAGCTCTGGGCTAGGGGAGCCTCTGGGTGGGGTGTGCCAAGCGGGCACAGCAGTGGCCTTATGGCTGTGGGGCAGTCCTGGGCAGCGGGCAGCGGTCCCACTCCTGTTGCAGGAGGGCCCAAAGCTGGGCACTGGCCCTGGGCCTCGCCCGGGGTTCTCGGGAGGGGTGAGTGCCCTGCCAAGCCCCTCCCTGCGGCGTTTCTAAGAGCCCCCACTGAAGCCTTGATGAGAGGGGGTGGCCAGTCACTTGGGGGCTGTCCCACCACACTTCTGCCCCTGTGCAGGCCTAGTGTCCCTCCTGCCAGTGCTCTCCATGCCGCCCTACAGGGTGGACAGCAGAGCAGGTCAGGAGGTGGCCCCAGGACCCTGCTCCTACTCACACCATCCTTCCCTGTGACCCCCACCATAGAGTCTGGCCCCCTACAGGACACCCATGCCCAAAGAGGACAGGCAACCAGGCAGCAGAAGCAAGAGCACTCCCCACTCAGAGCCACCAGGCTCATCGGCCCCAGGGCCAGGCTAGGCCATTGGTGAGTGACCCCACGCCCCCAGCGTGAGGCTGCCCAGCTTCCTCTTTTGTTGTTTGTGTTGAAGGGTGAGCGCAACACATTCACCAAGCAGGAAACGGCCCCGCACCAGCCAAGCCAAGGCTGCCGCCATCGGCCAAGCACCATGTCACCAGGCCCGTCCCCTGGGCTCAAAGGCTGGCACACGTTGCCTGCCTTCTCCCTGCACACCTACACATCTCTTCCAGTCTGTCCCCATGGCCAGCACATGTCCTCCTTAAGGAGGACACTTGGTGCTCACTGGTCAGGCCAAGGGCATAGCAGGGCCCCCGGGGAGCACCTATGGCCAACCCACACCTGACCCCAGGGAAACGGAGGCCCAGGGAAGCTGGCAGCACTGCTCACAGGTTCAGGGGCCTCCGGGGGGCTTCCCTCAGTGGTTCTGCAGAGCAACTCCCACCTTTGCACTCAAGCAGTTGACCTGCAACCCTTGCTGTGCACGCTGACACGGGTCACCCGGCCCCACAAACTACCTTCCACTCATGTCCGCTCAGCAAAGCTTCGGCCTCCCAGGAGAAAGGGAGCTGGGCTGTATCCTCAGGGTGCAGACCCCCGCTCACACAAGGACCCTGGGACTAGCTGACAGCATGGCCAGGGCCACAGCTGGGCATGCACGGGGATCTGTGTCACTGAAGTGGACCACTCTGCACCCCAGAGCCCCCGACAGGGACAACCTGTGCCAGGACCTCAAGACTGAACCAGAGTGGGTAGGAGGGAGACAATACCCAGGAGGCCCTCAGGGCCAGAGCCAGGCCTCAGTATCCCCACTATGCCTGAAGGGGTCTGGGTCAGGGGGAAGGTCCATGCCAGGATGGGGCAGCCTGGCCCCGGGCAGAGGCCTAGCTTCCAGGCGTTAAGTTAAACTGAGGCCAGGCACATGCCTGCAATCCAGCTACGCAGGAGGCTGAGGCAGGAGGATGGCAAGTCCCAGGCCAGCCTGGACAACTTAGCAGCAAGACTCTGTCTCAAAACAAAAATTAAAAAGGGTTGCAAGGGGCTGGGGATGTGGCTCAAGCAGTAGTGTGCTCGGCTGGCATGCGTGCGGCCCAGGTTCGATCCTCAGCACCACATACAAACAAAGATGTTGTGTCTGCTGAAAACTAAAAAATAAATATTAAAAAAAATTCTCTCTCTAAAAAAAAAAGGGGTTGCGAACGTAGCTTAGTGGTAAGTAAAGCACTGCTGGGCTCAAGCTCAGGACCACACATACAAGAGGAAAACCCAGAAAGTCCAAATGAGGTCCCAACAGGCCTCCTACACACACCCAGGCATACACACCTTGAAGACCCACTCAGGCGACCACATCTGGGACAGGTTGGCTCCCTCTACCTCCACCCCATGGCCTCAGGCTGCTTCCTCTGCTGGGCCCTGCTGGCCCCTGGGAGACTGGGAGGTGCCCACTGGTCAGCACACACTTCTACTTCCAGAGTTCATCCTGACCCAGCCTCCTGGCCACCCTCCCCTCCCTCTCCTCATCCAGCCACCTGCCGTGAGTCAGGGACACTGAAGACAAGCATGGCCAGGAGGACGACAGTGGGGTCTTTGGCTGGAGGCTTGACCAGAGCGGCTGTCCACAGGGCAGGGTGGAGCGGGACCTGTCAGCACTGGGGCAAGGAGACAAAGGTGGCCCAGGCTTTAAGGGGACCACACTCCAAAAGCAGTGGCGCAGCCGGCCTGTTGCACAGCACAGAGCTCTCCTCTTGGAGGCCAAAAACTGGATGCCCTGGGCCAAGCCCAGCCACCTGCAACCTGCCCCAGGGTGGCTCCTGAATGCCTGCTCCCAGGAGCTCACCTGAGGCAGACCTCTGGAAACAGGAAGCGGGCAGCACTGATCTGGCCTGGCCACCCACCGGGTGGTACTGCAGCTTCCTCCACAACCCACCTGGGGCTGCCTGGTTGGGCCACCTCCCCACGAGCTCTGGCCCTCAGCAGCTTGCATCCATGATCCTGGGATGGCTCCCTGTTAGACACATGGGGACATGGAGGCCCAGGGATGCCTGGCCAGCTGCAAGTCTGTCAGCAGCTCTGGCTCTGGTGTGGGTGATTCCGGCAGGCATGTTCTGAACACAGCCTGGGGCCACTCCCCAGAGATGGGTGCCCACCACCTCAGTGGCAAGAGAAAGAGCCTGGGCCTGGTCTGCAGACATGGCCGTCTGGCCCCTCATTTGTAGTAGGACACCCATCCACTCTCATCCCCACACCTACACAGCCCCAGAAGGCATGGTCACCCCACATGGGGCCAGCCCAGGTGGCCATGGTGGGCTGTGCCTGGGGACTTGGGCTGAGAACCAGTGTATTCCAGGACCCGATGCAGGGGAGCCAGCAGAGAGGCAGACCCAGGCCCACCCTGGACAGGTCACTCCCAGGTGGCAAAGACAAGTGGCCAGGGCATCAGAGGGCTGGAGGGCCTGGAGGACACCTGTGTCGCCCCCCTCCCCCACTAGGAGGTCCAGGGCATTCAGAAAGCAGGGCAGTCCAAGCAAGGGCCCTGGGCCAGAGCAGAACTCAGAGGGACCATGCAGGAAGGTGTGCAGTCTACCTCCCATGCCCGGCCACCCTGCTAGAGCCCATGCCCCTGGGCTGGGGCTAGAGGGGCTAGAGGAAGACGAGTGGGGCTGGGGACAGGACCCTCTCCCCTGGTGTGGCTGGCACCAGGCAGCAGGGCCTGGAGGCTGCTGAGACTGCCTGGATGGCAACTCCCACTTAAAGGGTCCCCCTCCATCCCACCAGGACAGGGCGTCACAAGCAGGGGGACCCCCACAGACCACGAGCCCCCTGCACCAGGTCTCTACCCCACCCATTCCCACTGTGTAAATAGGGAAGCCAAGGCCCGAGGTGCTGGAGGTGCACAGAGCAGCCCCATGGGGTCTCTCGGATGCCCCCTGGGGCCCGCTTGCCTCCCCCCAGGTCCTTTCCGAAGGTACAACCAGAGTGGCAACCTGGTCACCAGGAGCCCAGGCCTCAGAAGTGCTCCTACCCAAGTCTGGCTGGCTGCCACAGGCCCTGTGTGACTGGGGCCAGGCACCTCCTGGGTTGGCCCCAAATCTAAGTCACTCAACAAGCATTCACCAAGAAAGCAGACTGTTTGGGGCACAGAAAAGGGTCAGGGGTCAGGGCTATGAGATGAGGCAAAGGGTGAGATGTGGCTGAAGGGCCTGGGAAAGTAGGCAATGGCTCCATGGACCCAGGCCCAGCAACACCGACCAACCGAGCTCCAGCACACAGCTGACCACACCCTCAATCCCCACCTCAAGCCCTGGGCCCTGGCACCTCCCAGCCACCCTGCAGCCTCCTCCAGCAGCTCCCAGACCTGCCCTACTGGGGAGCTCCCGTACGTCCCCCAGAACCCTGCCTCATGATACCCACTTCCACCATGACTCCCTGTCTGGGGGGCCTGGGGCTGCCTCCTCCCCTCAAGACACGGGGTTCATCTGCTGGAGGTGGAGTGCGAGGAGTGGTGAGCTGCTGGCACGGATCGCCAGAACTTCCCGGGGAGCAGGTTTGCAGGAAGAGGAAGTCAGAAGGGGGCAGGCTAATGCCCGCCCTGGTACAATAGGGAGTGGCTTGCCCAGGACCCCTGGCTGTGAAGTCCACCTCCAGCAGGACAGAGGGGAGAACAGCGGGAAGGCGAGGGCTACACTCAGGTCTTATTCCCCTGCTCCTCGCTGGGCCCCTTGGGCAGCGTCCTTCCCCTGGGCTACGGGGCCGCAGGAGTGGGAAGGCGGGGGGGCGGCCAGCTCTGCAGCTCCAACACAAACAGGCCCCAGTCGGCCAGGGCCCTGGGTGGAGCAGAACCCCCTCCCCGGAGTCCAGGCCTCAGGTGGGCAACAGGCCAAGCCCAGCAGCCTGCCCTGCCCTGCCCTCAGGAGCCCTTGGGCAGTGCCTCAGGCTGCCAGCGTGCCAGGCCTGGAACTGCTGGGTCCTCGCCGCCTTCCAGGAAAGCCAGGAGGAAGGCTGGAGTGGCCTGGCGTGCCCCGCCCACCAGGCCCTGCCAGGCAGGGGCCCGAACAGCAGGCCCTGCACAGGGCCTCCCCTCCCACTCAGGAGGCCCACAAGGCTGTGACCTCCACACTGTGGCGGGGTGCTAGGTCCAGGAGCCTCAGGAAAGCGGCCCCTCCTCCCAGCTGGCCTGGCACAAGCCCCCACACCTGAAGGAAGCCCACAGGCCGCCGGCCCCACTGGCTCCAGGACCCCAGGTGGACCAGGGCTCACTCCCTGGCCCTGCCCTCCAGGGCCAGCCTGAGGGCAGGCACTGACCTCGTTTGTGTAGCCACCCCTCTTTCACGATGGCCACGTCGTTCATGGTGTCCGTGGCCCCTGCTGGCCGGGGCGGCCCAAGGGTGCAGATACGCTCCTCCAGCAGGCTCCCTCTGGGCTCTGGTGGCCTAGCTACAGCCTCTAGAAGAAGCAAACAGAGAGTGTGTGAGGGCCGTCTGCTGGGGGTGCCCCCCAAGCTCTCAGAGAGCCCCGGGGCCATGCTCCTCGCCACCTCAGCCAGGGTCTGCCTTCCCTGTGGCCCCTCCCGGCTCCCAGCCCCCATCCTCACCCACCCTCCTCTGCCAGCCTGCCTACCCCCCACAACACCAGGCCAGGCAGAAGCCCACGCCACTGGACACTGCTCTCCAAACCCATGTGCTCAGAGCAGCTGTCACGCTCACCTCCCAGGTCTAGGTGCAAACCACTTCCACCCCAGAAAGCCCTCTGGGGTATCCCAGCCTCCTCCACCTGCTGCACCAGCTGAGAGAACACCTCCTCCAGGCAGCCTTCTGACCCTTTCACCAACCCTGATGACGTGACCCTCTCTGCTCTCCCTGTCCAGGTCATTTCCAGTCACAGGTTGAGATTCCCCAGGGCAGGGCCCCGGGGCTCCTCCCTCCTGCCCCCACCACTGGGAAAGCAGAAATTCAAACGAGAAGGCAGGGCCAGGAGAGCAGCGGCTGAGCCCTCCAGGGTGAGACTGAAAACCTCCCCAGGCCCCTCCTAAACCACAGAGCCCCTGCCGCTCTGAATCTGGTTCATTCATTCAGCCAACATGTACCAGGCATCTCTGGTTTTGCCAGGCCCCGCACTGGGACTTGGGGACAAAGAGATGTTCAGATGGTCCTGTTAGTAAGGAGCACCCAGAGCAGGGTGGTTTCAGACCCATAATTACAGCATTCAGGAGGCCAGGGACGGGGAGGAGGGGCACTGAACAAGCCCCTGCCCTGCAGTGGCCTACCAGCCAGCCATCACCAAAGTACACTTTGCCCATTGATCCCACAGGGCCCTCTCCACAGCTCCCAAGCTGGAAGAACTCCTAGGCATCCCTCAAAGCCCCGTTCCCACGTCACCAACTCTGGGCATCCTGGAAAAGAGTGCTCGGACACTCTTCCTGCCAGCAGCCTTCCAGGAGGGCACTCTAAAGACAGGCTCAGGAGAGGCCCCTGAGGACCACTGTGCGATGGATCCCAACACAGCAGCCCAGACACTGCCACAGGCCACCTCTCTGGCCTCCTGAGGTACAGGATAGGCACCCCCTGAGAGTCACTTTGCCTTAATTGTCTTAAACTAACTTGACACAGCAGGAAGGCCCTGCTGCCTGTGTCAAACGTCCCAACAGGGAAGACCACGCCTGGCCCTGAGGAACTCTGAGGAACTCCAGGTGCTCAGCAGGTCCTGCGGGAGTGTCAGGAAGCAGGACTAGAGGGCTAGGTCCAGCAAGGGCCCACAGGGGGATCTCTGGGCGTGGCCTGAAGGCAGAGCTGGACTGGAAAACTCCGATGTCCCCCACCTCACGCGCCAGGCCTGAGGCCTGCTACTGACAGTCAGACAGCTGTCCAGAGATGTATGTAAAAATATATCCATGTACACAGAAGTGTCCACACCAAATCAGAGGCATGGCCTCCGCAGGGACCCTGCCTCTGGGCTCTGTGGCACGCGCCTCACCGTGAGGGCATATTGTTGCTATTATTACTGAAGTCACAGCATTTATAGAAACACAAGGCTCTGAAGAGCTCCCTCCCAGGACAGGTCTGTGAGTGGCATGTTAGGCTGGGGCCCCATCAACATGCCCCGCCCTTCACTTGGGTGAGGGGCTCTGCAGGCAAGACTGACCCTCTGCAACCAGGCCATGGGGGCCCAGGAATGGACAGGGGGTGGGGATCTGGCCACAGAGCATAGGCCTTAGTCCACCAGCTTACCATGGCCCAAATCAGGAATCAGTCCCACGGGACATGTCCACCAGCTGGCCCAGGATCCCAAATCCCTGGGGCAAGCCCCAGTGGCTCCAGGCCTCCAGAACCCACCCAGGGCAGGAAGCAGTTCCGGGCCCAGAGGGCCAGCAGTCCTTTGTGGGCTAACCTGGGCACCCTGCCCCCACAGACAACTTTTTGTCCACGGGGAACAAGGTCTCCCTCCCAGGTCCTCCCCAGGCTTGCAGGCCGCCCGGGGCGAGCCTTCTCCCGGCCCCC